AAATATAGAGTGCATGTTTAATACATTAAATTTTTGAAACATAACAACGAACAGTGGTGCATCATAGATAAACCTCTTTTAAATTTATTTATCTACAAATGCACTTAAAGTTATACACATGTTTCGAAAATTTTAGTAAAAAAATATAATAGACAATGGAATACATGGTACTTAGCAAAAATAATCGAAGTAAAGAGAAACTTTGAGAAATTTAAAGCAATCGTTCGATTAGGTATTGCAAATTTCGACCTTGACATGGTTTTTTACTCTGCACCTTCTTTTTCAAACAGTTTTCATTTAATTTAAAAGATGTACATATTTAGATATTTAGAAAATTTAAATTACATTTCCGAATATTACTGATGATTTTGCAAGAATCATGTATTCTAATATCCGTTTTGAAATATTCATTGAAACTAATAAATTAAATAACTTTTATAAGTACTATCTCTAAAGTTCCTTTATTTACGATTTGATTTTTCGTATATATTACATATATAAAACGATTTGTTCCTATATTTTTCTAAGAATTATCTTTTAATTAAGAAACATATATTTGGCAAAGCATCAATTTTATATTAATTGATAAATATTCAATAAACAGACTCTAGTATATCTTATTTGTTTTTAGATTGCATTTAATGTATACTTCTGTTTAACACACATATTGCTCCATCTTACATAAGAATGGTTTTAATTAAGAATTAAAACGCGTTATTTAAAACATCACATAAAGTATCATAAATAAATAAATATATATTTTTATACTACACTCTTTTTATAAAATTTAAATAAATTCTATACATATGAGTATTTCGTGCTATGATAAAACTACTATTTAAATCATCTTATTTTAGTTAAAAAATAGTATTTACCTAAATTATTTTAAAAAAAGGGAAATTCATACACACCAAAACAATATAAATGCTACTAGCAACCGAAACCATACATACTTGCGGGAAGGTATCGCGAAAAACTATCATCTAAATCTTTGTTTTTGTATAATTTTGTTAATTTCTCTTCTGTTTCATTAAACTACTTTGAACTAAATCATACAAATACCTCACACATGCTACATTGTATTTTATACATTCAGAGCAGTCACCTTTTCTATTTAAACCGCTTAATAACATAGTACGGAACCGTAAAAAACTTTGAAAAAAATCAAAAACGCCCAGGAAAAAGATGTAAATGAGCGTTAGTTAATAATGGGTTCCATACCAATGATAAAAAAAACACGTTATAAATACTAAAATAAAAATAGAATTATAGCGTATACGGTTTTGAACCGTTCACTAGAAGTCTTGTATTCTCTTTCTTAACCCAGCCGGGATCTTTACTAATCTCCTTCCTTAAAACAGATTACTTAATGATTTGTTATTTTTTTTAAATAATCCGCATACGTTAAAGGGAAATTATTGCTAAAATTTTAGATAAATCGATAATTTCTTGATATTGCATCTTCATGTGTATATCACCTTACTGATTTATTTATACAGTACATTTAAAAATATGCTAGAAGCGTTTTATTAATTTTTTGAATAGATATTGGTTATTATTATTATTATATGGATTTAGATAATTTATGTATTTCCAGTATTTAATAATATGATCATCATGTATCACTACAATAAAACTAAGAAATTTAGAATTTTTTGTGTTACAGATTGGAGTTTTTCATTGATTCGTAAACCCAAACAAGTAAACAACTCTTCATCAATAAATAGAAACACATATATTGCAGATATTTTTTCGAAAAGGCTAATTGTTCAATTGTACTGTTTTACAAGTCGCCTTTTAGCATGATTTAGGTTATCCCAAAAAATACTGGCCTTGTCTTACAGAAAACATCAAACGATATAAGAATTCATTCCCATTCGACTGATAAATTTTTACTAAATTTTTGTCAACGTGTCACCTTTTAAAAATAAGTATATTCATGTTTCGAGATGACTAAAAAATTAAAAATATTTAATAACACATCCTACAGCATTCGTTAATATCGACCAGATGCACGCTGCATACCAATGGCACCAAAGCGCCGTTAAGTGTGTATTAATCTGCCAACGGACCTTTTTTATTGTATTTATGGTTCCAGGAGTAGGAGGTTCCAAGGAACCACAAGATTGCGCTTTATAGATGCGGCCGCGTTGAAATAGACCAGGTAGAGGTATGCAGAGTTTACGATGAACCTGGAGAAGGTAATGGAAATTTGTTGCTTTTTCACTTTGTCTATTAGATATTAATGTCATTGTGATGAATGAATGCTGATGATTACACACAGGCTAGTAATAAAATAGCCTAAAACATATGATGAAAAGCAAACCATTGTCTATTTTATACATAGACAAGTCTTCAGTATGAGTCCTATGATTTTTGCACAGGTTTAAATACAGTTACATATATATTCAGGGCCGGTCCTGCGTACTCAGCGCCCACATGCCAATTTTTTTTCTAGCCAAATCCTAGTATTTCAATCTGAACTTTTTAAGACATACAAAAATTTCAGTATGTTCCTTATTGCTTGCAAGAATATTTTTAATTCTCATTTATTTATAGTGCAAGTATAATATTTGGTTTTGAAACATTTTACCTATTTATTTTGGGGATTTTATGCGATTTATTACATTGACAAATCATAGAGAGCAAAAAAATTATAGCCTCTCATTATTAAACATAACTCTGGTACTTCCTGTTGTATTATTTTAATTTATTTTTTTTTTATTAATATATCTAAAACATTGTATCGTAACTTTTCTTAATTGATATCGTAAAGGCGCAGTGTTCATCTATATTTTCCATCGTGTATCTTATCAGATTTGTTTTCAAAGTTAAATTTAAAAAATATTGTACAATATTATTAGGTGCAAGAAATTATATATTTTTTAAATGATATTGAAAAAACTTTATTATAAATTGCATATCCGAAACTCGTTGTAGCGCCCCCCTAAGGCGTGCACCCGCATTTTTTGCATGCATCGCATTCAAGGTAAGACCAGCCCTGTATATATTTTTTACGTTTATCTATTAAAATAATCATCATTGAAATAAGTTAATATAGTGTTATAATAAATTAAAAATAATAAAGAAATAAGCATGATAAAATTGATATTAAAGCATGGATGAGATGAATCGATATAATATTGCAATATTATTATATAAAATTACCTGGAAATATTTTCCGAACCCGCAACTTTTTTCCGTTGGACGTATAATTTTCTTTATTGTTTTCCATTACTGACACAACACTTTGTTGTTTGTGGACCCATCTTCAGAATTTGATACTAACGCCTTCCAGATAAGCCTTGCAAAAGCCTTGCTCCAAAACCTTGTGTTTATTATTATGGCTAAAAGTAAAAGATCACAATATAAAATGAAAATATTTTAAACAAAAAGTCAAAGTATATAATAAGTTTTTTATTATGATACTTAATGGCTATATTCAAAATCAAAAATGAACTAATAAAATGAAAGAAAAACAGAGTTGTTGATGAATATATATGTTACATTTGTATTATATTCGATAGTCAAAATATGAAAACTAGTGGTGTATGGCATCGTGCCTTAAGACAAATTGCTAGAACTTCCTGTACCTAAATGAAATATTATTATAAATAATGTAACTTTCATTATTCTTATTTTATAAAAAGTAAATAAAACAAAACTTAATCAA